CCAGGCTGAGGGCCTTCCTCTGCATTCCCGAAGCCCCTCAGGAATGATATCACCAGGCTTACCACAGACTACTGTAACGTCTATGTGTCCATGTGGCCCCACAGATTGAAGGCAGAGGCCACATCTAATGTACTTTGGTGTCCCCAGTGCCCTGCTCAGGGTCTGGAGAGAGCTGGGGTTTGGGTGTGTTTGCTGGACCAACCTCAACTCAACTGAACCACTTGGTGCCTTGTGAGGGGCCACAGACCTTGACCCTTCTCTGGCCTAGGAGGCAGAACACCAAATTTCAGTTTCAGATTTTCTATCAAGCGGCCGTTTAGATGCAGAGGGCCCCTGAATGATAGAAAACTAAAAGGGATATCAGACTCCCTGGCCTCATTTTCCAGAAGAGGAAGCTGAAACTCAAAGCAATGATGGCACAGTCCCTGGGCCCACAATCAGTGGGGGTGAATCATACTCAGACGGCCTTGGCCCTGTTCCGCGGCTCCCCTAAGTGCTAAAACCTAGGGTTCCTCATCTGCATCACTGGGGTAGGCGCAGCAGTCTCTAAAAGCCCAGCTGCGTTCAGTTCCATGAGCCCACAGGCCCCAGGCCCTGCAGTGAGGGAAGGAGAGATCACTCAAGAGGCTGTTTATCATCTTGTTGTGCACCCCCCCCTCAGCTCTTGGAGCTAAACATTCCCAAGAAACAGGGTGATTCATTCACAGCACCATTTGCCAGTTCCAGAGAAAAGGCAGACCATGAAATACATTCTGCAACTTTTGAAGAGGAGACCAAAAAAAAAAAAATCTCAAGATGAAGTTTCCCTTTAGTGGACTCAGGCTGGGAGAACATATATATTTTATATATTTATATATTGTAAATATTTATATATTTCTATATTTTTCCTCTCAGAGAACCACCCGTTGGGGGAAGGAAGCGGTCATGGTTTAAGCCAAGATCCCCCCAGACACAAGGTAGTGCCCTCTCAGAACACCAAAGACTGCATGGCTTTTAAAACAGCTTGATGGGGGGTGCCTGGGTGGCTCAGTCGGTTGAGCATCCTACTTTGGTTCAGGTCATGATCTCACGGCTCGTGGGTTCGAGCCCCGCGTCGGGCTCTGTGCTGACAGCTAGCTCAGAGCCTGGAGCCTGTTTCAGATTCTATGTCTCCCTCTCTCTCTGACCCTCCTCTGCTCACGCTGTCTCTCTCTCTCTCTCAGAAATAAATAAAACATTAAAATTTTTTAAAAAATAAAATAAAACAGCCTGATGGGCTGAACCTGACAACAGCTGCTCTGAATGCTCACTGATGGGCTGTGAGTTAAAGCCGAATTAGATGGGCTGGTTTTGTGGGTTCTTTTGTGTTGTTTTGTTGTTGTTGTTCTTGATGCGGATTCCTGTCAGAACTCCAACTGTCAAGGAGAAGGTGAGAAAGTCATGTGCGCCCCTCTTAAATTAAGTAGAAGGAAGTTTGCTGAATGCGTTGGGATCCTTGGACATCTTGCAACCAAGAAGACACAGAGAGGGGCGCCTGGGTGGCTCAGTCGATTAGGCATCTGACTTTGGCTCAGGTCATGATCTTGTTTGAGCCCTGCCTCGGGCTCTGTGGCTACAGCTCAGACAGAGCCTGGAGCCTGCTTCCAGTTGTGTCTCCTTTTCCCTCTCCCATCCTCTGCTTGTGCTCTGTCTCTCAAAAATAAACATCAAAAAAAAATTTTTTTTCAGTAAGTAAAAAAGAAGATACAGAGAGAGGTAACAGGTGAGCCTGGTAATAGGGGGCGGAGCTTGGGGGTAGCAAAGCATAATTGCAGGGAGAGTGAATGACAAATCTCCAAAACTCACAGAAAACGTCTAGAACTATTCTAGCAGTACAAAGACAGATGGAAAAGTCAGTCTCTCACCTTAAATTCACAGGTCTTCTATGCTGTTTGGGTCTCCTATAATACGAATGTTATACTCAACTCTTTAAAAATTTTACTTGTAAGGGGCACGTGGGCAACTGAGTCAGTTGAGCATCTGACTTCGGCCTAGGTCATGATCTTGCTGTTCCAGAGTTCAAGCCCCTCATCAGGCTCTGTGCTGACAGCTCAGAGCCTGGAGCCTGCTTCAGATTCTCTCTCTCTCTGTCTCTCTCTCTCTGCCCCTCCCCCACTCATGCTCTGTCTCTCAAAAATAAACATTAAAAAAAATTGTACTTTTAGCTCCCGACTCTGAGCTAAGTAGGAGTGAGCTTGACCTCTTTGTCCGAGTAAAGATGTGTGCTACGGTAAGAAGGCTCCAGAAACCTGGGTTCTAGTTCAATTCTGACTCCAAAGAACATAGGTGGCATCGAGCATGTCTCTGATGCTCATATATACCACATATTTCACTAACACACCTTGCATGTGCAATTTCACAGCACATACATCACACAATTTTTAAAAATATTTTATTTATTTTTGAGAGAGAGAGAAAGAAAGAAAGAGAGAGAGAGAGAGAGAGAGACAGCATGAGCAGGGGAGGGTCAGAGAGAGAGGGAGACACAGAATCTGAAGCAGGCTCCAGGCTCTGGCTAGCTGTCAGCACAGAGCCTGATGTGGGGCTCGAACCCACGAACCGTGAGATCATGACCTGAGCTGAAGTCGGACGCTTAACTGACTGAGCCACCCAGGCGTCCCCATGCATCACACAATTTAATATCACCCCATCTTAAACATGTACCACAAGCACACGTACCACATACACGCCAATCATTACCAGACGTATCACACAATTTCCCCATCTGTAAATGTTAGGGAAGATGGGTTGAGGGAGGAGAGGGAATCTTTGAGGCATGGGCTTTGGAGTCGTACTGCCTGAGTTCTAATCTAATTTTCTTTGCTGTGTGTCCTGAAGCAGGTTGCTTAAACCTTCTGAGCCTTGGTTTTCTCAACTGTAAAGCAGAGAAAATAAGATCCACTTCATGGCTTTGCTGACAAGTTAAACAACATAATGTATGCAAAGCACATAACTTAGTGCCTGGCTCACAGCAAAGGGTTTTATTAAGGTGTAATTTACACATAATGAAATGCTCTAATCTGAAGCATTCGATGTTGGTAGTTGCGTATCAAGATGCAGAATGTTTCCATCACCCTAGAAAATGTTTCTCGTGCTCCTTCCTGGTCAGTCCTTCTCCTGGGAACCACCACTGATCTGATCAGTCTATTGTAGAATTCCATATGAATAGAACCATATGGTATTTATTATATTTCTGTGTTTGCGGGTATATTGGCCTCTTTCATGCAACATAACAGTTTTGAGAGTCGCTCATATAATATTGTGTGTAGAGTAGGTCACTTATTTATCATGTATAGTATTTCACTGCATAACACGCTACAGTTTATCCATTCTGCTGAAGATGAGCATCCGGGCTATTTCCAGTTTTGGCCTTTTATGATCAAAGCAGCTATGAATAGTCAGCTAGAATTCAGTGCAAGACTTTCATGGACAAATATTTTCTTTTCTCTTAGGTAAATTCCTAGGAATGGAGTGCTGGGTCACAGAGCAGATGTGTGGTGAATTTTTTCAATTAACTCCCAAACGGTCTTCTAAAGTGGTAGTACCACTTCCCGTGTCCAGTGGCAAGGTGCAAGAGTTAACTCCTGTCCTTCCCAACAGGCGGCGGGGTCAGTCTTTCCTATTTCAGTCATTCCAGCATCACATTGTGGCCTTAATTTGCATTTCCCTGATGACTAATGAACTCCCTCCATGTGCTTATTTAGAGTTTCTTTAAAGGTAGCTCCTCTCCCCTTCATTGCTCTGTAGCTTTCCGCCTCCATCATTTGAAAAACGAGGAAGGAAAAACTGATAGCAAAATCTACTAGAAATAAGAGGAGCTCTGCAAATACAAAAGCAAGTAGGAGCTTAGCCTCAGAACCCCTCCCTTAACTCTGGTTTCCCAGGACTGAAAAGCTAAGGACATGCTTGTCTTCCAAAGAAGCTAAGATCATGACTGGTTAGAGGTCAGAATTTTATTATTAGTTAGTTAGTTAGTTAGTCAGTTAAAGCAGGCTCCACACACACCCACATGATCTCCCTCTGCTCTCACCTCCAGCCAGGCTTTTAGACTCAGCTCAGTCTCACCTCCCCTCTGCCAGGTGGCCGTGTTGACCACCCCGAATGAGCTGGGCGCCTGCCCCTCTGCTCAGCTCCCATAGGATCTGCTGCCCGCCCCCGACGGACAACTCCCCACCCCAAGCCAGTTTCCACATCCAAGTCTCCCACTGGGCTGGGCGCACCTGGGTTTCCAGCACGCTTCCTCCTTTCTGCATCCCTGGTGCCTCCCTGGTGCGAGGCATCGAAGAGGCTCAGTGTCCGGCCTGGTCCTGTTAAGCTGAAGCGCCAGCCCCTAGACTGCCCAGACCTTAATGGCGGTGTTTACACGCTGCCCCTACCAACATTCACTGAGTATTTGTTAAACACCAAGGAAAGGGCCGTGGACTCAGGCCCAAGACCGACCTCGGGCGCTTTCACGCACTTTGGACTTCAGTCCCCCTTCTCTACAGTGGAGGTGGTGCAGGCCCCTCACTGGTGCTGACAACATTTGGGAAAGTGTTGGGCAGACTGGAAAGCAGTTCGGCAAGTCGGAGTCACCACAGCTCAGGGCTTTTCCTTGGCAGATGATTCAGGGCATGTGACTGGCCCTGTGTGACCTGCGTGACCCACCCCACGCCCCGAGAGCCTACCACTTGGGTTTCTTCAAGCCACTTGGAGGACAGGCAGCGTCTTCCTCTGGCGATGGAACCAGGGGCACGAGCGGGGCCCAGCCCGAGGGAAACTCTCACGGCCGCACGGACGTTCACGACCTTTCCAGTGACTAAGAACCACATGAAGCAGCTGCCTGGACCCTTCCCAAAACCTGTCCCAGAATGGCTCGGTCTAGTGCACCGCTCTGGCCACCCTCAGCCCCGCTATCCCACTTCTGGGGGGGCCCCTTCCCTAAACCCAGGGCAGGGCCCAAGGCTCCCCTTTTCCCTCGGCAGCAGGCAACACACAGGAGGTCCAGCCTGGGAGACAGTTTATTGATGTTTATTTGCCCAGATGAGTTTTCCTCGCTATTCTGGGGTTGAAGGGATTAGGGGAAGTGGGGACGTGTCAGATGGAAGCCAAAGGCACACACTGGATGTACCGTGACGGGCCAAAAAGAGGTCGGTCTGAGATCAGCAAGCCCCCATTTCAGAGGCTAAGAAAGACTAGGCCCAAAGGCACGGGCCAAGTCCCTTCCCTGTGCCAGAGGAGGACCAGGCATGGCCCCGACGGCTTTCCCGCTGCTCCTCACGCCAGGCAGCTTCGGACCTGGCTGTCGTGCCTGTGGGACCACTAACATCACAGTGGTCATGGCGTCTTGACTTAAACACAGGGAAGGCCTGGCCTGGCTCCTTCTGTAACCAGCAGGGACAGAGGTGACTGGTGAGCAGATCTGCGGTGTACGCGCAACGGGAGGGGCAGTGCTTGTCAGCATGAGATCATGACTCTAGAAGGTAGTGTAAATCCACAAGGTGAGTAAGTAAAGGCTGGACGCAATGATTCAGCATGGAAATGTCACTCCGAGCTGACTCGACTTCTGAACAGACAGGCTTCTTAGACAGCCTCTGCTCGTAGGGGGTTTTGGTCCCCCTGGCTCTAAGCTGTCATGGAAGCAGAAGGAAGAGGAAGTGGTGGGCTGTCCAGCTGGGGCCTGGGGTCTGCCACGACTGTCCAGATCCGAGCGGTCAGAGAGGGCCCGGCCACCTCAGCCCTGACCCTGGAGTGAGCGAGGGAAGAGGACGTTGAGTCCTGGGAGGGCTGCCCCCGGGCCCCCGCCCCACCTGCCTGGCTCCGGGGCCTCTTCTTCTACCGCTTCTTCTTGGCCTCCTTCTTGGGCCTCTTGCTGGCGGACAGAGCAGCAGCCTTGGGCCTCCTCGTCACCTCCACGCTTCTAGGCTCGGAGGGTTCTGCCTCCTGCATGGCAACAGAAAGGAGAGTCCTGTTGAGACGCGTCAAGCCCGACCCGGCAAACCGAGACTGTGTCTGGAGGGGGATTTGCAAACGAGAGCAACGGCCACAGAAACACCGGATGGGAAGCGCCAGCGCCAGGACCCCGGACCTCAGGGCTGTGGGGCTGGCCTCAGTGAGGAACCAAGCAAGAGGCCCCAACAAGGGAGGAGGCAGCCTTTGGAGTCTCAGGAGGCCTGAGTGGCACTAGGCTCCTCTATGTGCCAGCCAAGTGACCCTGTGAGCAACTCGCTTCCCCTTCCCATGTCTTGGTTTACCCACCTGTGAGATGGGAACAGTGACGTAGGCCCCAGAGGGCTGACATGAGGAGGCAAAAGGCACGGAACGCGCCCAGTGGCTGGCCGCTCGCCCGTGCAGGTCCCGGGCAGATGGCAGGTGAGGGGCCACCGCGGGACAGACCCACTGTGACTTGCTCTCCTTCCGGCCCAGCTGCTCTCCTTCTCCCCTTCAACCCACAGAAGGCCAGGGCTGGGAGGGGTGGGGCGCGCCGGCCGGCAGGTGGGCCACACTGTTCTGGGGGTCTGGCAGAGGTGCCCTGTGGGGGAGGGCAGAGGGCAGCCTGGGGACAGGCCTCCAGACTCCCTACGCCTGGGGCGGCGCTGGCTTTTATCTGTCATGTGCACCCAGACTTGTTCCCTGTAAGATCTGGTTTACACAGAGCTCCTGCTGCTAAGAAAAGGTTCGAAAGCACAGATGCAGCCCTGGCCTTCGCTTCGCGGATGAAGACAGTGGACTCCAGGGAAGGGACCCGCCTTGCTGCAGCCATAAAAGCTCCTTTCCAGAAAGACCCTGGAGTGGATTCAGCCCTGCCAAGTGCTCCCTCCTCCTCGGGCGATAAGACACACTGGCCTAGGCCAGGTAGGATGTTAGCGAGGCACGTCGGGCCCAGAGAACGCAGGCCACGGCCCCTGGGCCTCCTCCGGCCCACAGGCGGACTTCAGTTAGTCTGCAGTGTTTATTTTTAAGAATTTGAGCCAACTGGCAGATTTCCCATTCAATCTGGACTCCTAGCTTTTCTTGAAAACTTTGAACACCTAGTAATGCTGGCCCCTAATCCCCTGGTGGGAAAAATGGGCTGAGCGGCAGCCGCCCCTTTATTCAGGTGCCCACGCCCCTCATGGCCGCTGTCCCCAGCACTGCAGTAAGGAAACGTTGCTCAGGACCTGTGTTCTTTTATTAAAAATGGGAAGACAAACAGCAGACTAAGAATACGAAGAAGGAGCACACTTCTGGAAGAGAAAAATGTTTCCCCGTGTTTAACCGGCCGACTCCCAGCTTCCAGTTTGCTTTGCTCTGTCCTTCCCTGGCCCTGCACCGTAAGCCATGCACTCATAGAGGACACGTGGCCGTGGCTGGGGAGAGGCAGTCCACACCTCTGTACCGGCCGGCTCCCGAGATCCGTCAGCTCCCTCTGGTCAGCCGTCACGGCCTCCTCCCCACCCCGCCAGCCTCCGGCAGAGACCCCAGAGGTAAAGGCCCAGCCTGGTCCCAGGTGCCCACAGGTGTTCTTCCCAAGATAATGCGGGGGCTGGTCCCCCCCCCGGCCAGGTCTCTGATGGTGGCTCTGGACTCCCCCAGCCTATCTACTTGTGGGATACTGTTAATGTAACTTGCCCCCCTCCCCCAAAGGAAAAGCTGGTTAGAAAGACAAACAAACAAAACAAAATCTCAGAGGAGCTAGCGTGTCAAGTGCAGGAGCAGCGGCTGCACAGCACAGCAGGAAGGCTACTGTTTAAGGCAAACCCCATGGGGCACAATGCCTTTGGAGACCTTAGGAGCTGGAAACCATCCCGTCCAGCTGCAGTAGCTACGAGGCCAGAGGAAACCAGTCAGTCCCCAGAGCCCTAGGCAAACAGGCCCTGATAAGAGGAACAGTTTATGCACAGGGAACTTGCCAAGCCTGCGGGACCTCCGGGGACGGAGCCCCTCCCCCACCGCTCTAAGCTCAAAGCTGGGTGCCTCCTCCACCTCCAGTAGGACCCAGTTCAGAGTCCACAGGGATGGTGACACGCGGCTGCCATCCCCAGCGCGTCCCTCGTTCCAAAGACCCTCTCTTAGGCTCCTTTCTCTCTCTCCTGAGCAGACCTCGCTCCTCATCCAGCTGTCTGTCAGAGGACTGGATGGGCACCTTCCAGGCACCTCAACTCGATGGTCCCAGACCAAGCACACCCCTTCTCCGGCGGGCCGGGTCCTCCTCCCCACCCTACAGGCAGAGCAACTGGAGTCCCAGTAACCCCAGCCCTCTCTCCTCCCGACTGTCCACTCAGTCACTAAGTCCCGGTGACTCAACCCCTTCCACCTCCTGACTCGGTCACCCTCTCTAGCACCAAAGTCCCTCCTTCGGTCCCTCCACCGCTAGCTGGCCTCTCTGCTCAGTGCCGCAGCCCGCCCCCCCCCCCCTTAAACCTTCCAGGGGCTCTCCATACCCTACAGCTGATGCCCCCACACATGGGATGGCATCTAAGAGGCCCCATCTCCAGCTCCTTCCGGGCTCTTCCCTAGACCCCACCCTGGGTCAGGTGTCAGGGCTTCTACCAGTCACTCTTAGCAAGAAGAGCACCCTTTTCGGCCACGCAGCAAAACCCTCCCTGTGGTTTGGCCTAGCGCAAGAACACACCCTACTCACCGTCCAGCCTTCCTTCTGTGCTGCTCCACCTCCAGCGGCTTCCACCCCTCCCTCCAGGCCTGCCCCCACCCACGCCCGCTACCGAGGAACTACACACTGCCACTACTGTCTTACCACAGGTCCAGTCCTCCTGTTAGTACCCCCACCAGCCTGTGGGCTCCCTGGGACAGCTTCAATTGTGAATGAATGAACGAATGAATGGAAAACGAAAGAGAGAAAAGATAAAAAGGAAAGGAAATAAAAGAAAGAAAGGGAAGATCAGGCAAGATCTCCCATAGCCATGGGAACTTCACTCTTGTTTATCATCATGAAAATAGAACACTTAAGGATGCCTGGTTGGTTCAGTCAGTAGAGCGTGTGACCCCTGATCTCGGGGTTGTTGAGTTCAAGCCCCACTTTGGGCACAGAGATAACTCAAATAAATATTTACAAATATATATACATAACAGTTAGTACTGGGCCTCACTTTTCCCACGAGCACAGAGGACATAAGCAGGTTTTAAACCCAATGTACACTCCCGGAAGCATGGCTGGACGTGGCCCCCGGTGATAATAATAACAACAAGGGCCACAACAGCCACTAACGCTATTCAGTGTGCCAGGCCCTGGGGTGTGTGGTGTGCACTTACCTTATTTTAGCCTCACAAAGTACCACAATGAGTCCCATTGTACAGATGAAAGAAATACTCAGAGAAACATGTGACTTGCGCAAGGTGTCACTTGGTGTGCAGTAGAGCCAGGATGTGAAGTCAGGTCTTCACGGTGACAGGATACCATCTGTCCCGGGGTCTCCTAGGGACCTCAGGGCTGGAACCAGAGTCAACTAGGAAATCGACTCTCTATTTAGTAGCGCCTGGAAACACAGGTTCCGTAGAGGACTGTGGAACGACAAGAATGGCTTGTTCCAGACTCTGTCGATGGGTCACTCGGACCCCTTGTTTGTGATGGCAGTTCCTGCAGGAGTCAGGAGGGCAGGTCAGTGCTCCCTGCACCAGGCTCTGCTTCTCACAGCTGAAGGCAGCTCTCCGTGGGCGTGTATACACGTTACCGTCATCGAGTCATCTGGATGCATTATCTGTCTCCTCCTCACCCAAGACCTCCTCCTCGCTTCCCCACCAAAGATCTGGCATTGTCGCTCACCCAGTTACCCAAGCCGGTCACCTCCAAGCCGGTTCTGAGTTGGCGCTGCCCCCTCGAGCCCCCACACCCAACTGGCCCCAGGTCCTGCCCATTCTACGTTCGGAGGGGCTCTCGAATCTACCCGGCCCCTCTGGACACACACTCCTGCACCAGGCCAGACCCTGCGGTCTGCCCCCCACTGTGTCCGCCGCCCACACATTCTCCTCGCCACCCGCCTCACTGCGTTCAGTCTATTCTAGAACAACAGTCCTGACCATGTCTGTTTTCCACTTTAATATGTTTCTGGTTCCCTCTTCGGAGGAGACAAATTCCAAGAGCTTCCTTGTGGCCCCCACGGCCACTCCACTCCAGTGGGGGCCCTGCCTCCCGGCACGCGCCCTCACAGAGCCCACTCTGTCTCTCCGGGCTGCCGGCCCGCCAGTATCGCCCACTGCTCTCTGCCCTCTCCTGCTCTGCCTCGGTTCCCAGCACCCCACCTACCTGTGTGCGCCCAACGGATGCAGGTCCTGTGCCAGGCACCACGGGGTACTGAAGAGAACACTTGCTTAGTGATATGCGCCCAGCATCCGCTCACTGAGCCTCCACCACCCCAACAAGCCAGCTACTGTGAGCTCACTTCACAAGCGAGGAAACTGAGGCTCAGTGATGGATCCAATGCGGCGCAGCCACCTTCCCCCCAAGCTACAGGGAAGCAAAGGCAGCTCCTGTGCACATGATAAGTTCCCATGAAGAGCTGTAGCTCCAAATTCTTAGCTAGTAAGAATGACTCTCATGAATGACTGACCTTTAATTTCTCTTCAAACACACGTTGCTGGTACAGGCCAGGCAGACTCCAAGTACTACAGCCCCACCTTTTTTATTATTTATTACTTTTTAATTTATTTCTGAGAGAAAGAGAGAGAGAGGCAGCATGAGCAGGGGAGGGTCAGAGAGAAAGGGAGACACAGAATCTGAAACAGGCTCCAGGCTCTGAGCTAGCCGTCAGCACAGAGCCCAATGTGGGGCTCGAACCCACAAACCATCAGATCATGACCTGAGCCGAAGTCAGACGCTCAACCAACTGAGCCACCCAGGCGCACCAGCCCCACCTTTAAATCTGGGAACTCCGGGCCTCATCCGAGGCAAGTTTTAGGTCTCCTCGGCAATCACACCAGCGGGAGTATAAGAAAACCTCCCCCAT